CTGCCGTTATGACAGGCTTCCGTGTTCACAAAACGTCGTTAATTTTAACGATCCTTAAAATTACAAAGGCAACGCCATGACGGCCGAGTGATGCTCGAGGATCGTCCAGAGGGAAGCCCAGGGGCGTGCATAATGATACGACGATCGATAATGCCCAACGAAACTCGATAGACTGCACTAGAATTTCATTACCTATGGCGTAATAAGCGTGTATCGAGCGGTATCTCTTAATTAACCTGGCGAATTTTACACGGTACATCGTATTAACATCGAAGCGCAGGCCATTTACCGATCGTAGAGGGGGAAAAATGACGCATGAAAATTTTCTCTGTACCATCCACGAGCTTAAAGCATCGTTATTGCTCGAATAATAGTGGCTGGGACAAAGTAACTCGTAAATCCTCTAGATGTCTCATTCATCGTTAACCTGCACTACTTACTCGATGGGTCTGACACAGGGTTGACCAATACCACTTGCGTCAATACACGACAAACGCGAAGTAATACGTTCCAGATGAGTAAAAGCGCACAGGATCTCCACTAATTAATCCCATTCCCATTTTCTCGTCGACGATGATACACAGGAAGCCACATTTAATCTCTTCTTTCACGAACCATGGTCCAAGTTAAATAACATCCGCTCCCCCCCTCCACCCCCCAACCAGAATCTTTTTGTTCGCTCGGGGATTCTCGTCGTTCTCGGTTCATCCCTCTATCCCGTGGCCCCCGTGTTGACGCGAAATGAATGAGCCTGTCGCCGGGGCGATCGTAAAGCGCGATCCACCGATAATGAATCTGGCGCGGAAGACACGCGAGCCGAGCGGCGCAATGAAAGGATTCGCCCGGGGGCGCGAGAAAGTAGAGCTTTTTGAGGGTGGGCAGGCCGCAAGGATCTCCGCTGCCATTAATTCCATTGGTCAATAGCCGCGATTCAGCCGTTAATGAATCGGCAGAGGTGGCCGGGCTGAGTTTCTATCCGGGCGTGCAATTATTTTTTAACGGGACCGGGAAGCGGATTTCGAGAATCGACGATTAGATTAATTGGAACGTTTCGCTCGAGGCGTGGTCGTGTCCAGCGGACTCAATTAAAAGTCAAGATGAGGTCCCTGACGCTCATTATTCTCGCTTGACCAAAGTCGAGTAATGTGCTTGTTGAGCTCGACGACCAGCTCAGGTTAGGTCTCGGTTAGGTATGCACAATAGGAACTATGCTGGCCCAAGACCAGGTTAGGTAAGATCCAAGGTCAAGTTAAGTAAAGATGAAGGTCAAGTTAGGTCAGATCACGATCAAGTTGGGTCAGGTCAGGATCAAGTTAGGTCAAGAAAATGCCTGATACTTCGGACATCAACTTGTGGAGCATAGCACCCCTCATGAGCTCCGTAGTTCACTCGACACCCTGTGTGTCCAGATCACCGTGCGCTGATGGAGGAAATGTGTTCGCAGTCCGGCGGAGGCTCCGTCGAGTCTGTAACGTACACGTGTTTCGCCGGGCATCGTTTCAACGTTAACCCGTTTCCGACCCAGTTACCCGCTTTGAACTCGTTTCGCTTCTCCGGTACGGAAGTTTTTCGAGGGATCCAAGTGGTTCGCCCTCTTCCTTCCTAGCCGAAGGCCGAGGGCAGAAATTAACAAGAAACAGCAGTCGTCTTATTTTGGTCTCTATCTCTCTCTCTCTCTCTCTGCCTTCTCTTTTTCTGCAATGGTCGAAACACGTCGCGACGGAAGGTTTAAGTAGCTTGGCCCGAGCAGACAGTGAAAGGACCTAAGTTGATTTTCGTGTTCGTTCCCGGAGGAATTCAAAGTGGAACGATAATTGCCCTGGGTCCCGAAGGAAACCGGGGTGGACAGACGGACCGGTCTTCGTGTTCGTCGAGGGAAAAAAGAACGTATCCAGGGAGCAGACGAGTGGCCGTATCCGACGAGAGAAAGAGAAGAAGACAAACGGGATCAAGGAGACGCGAAAGTGGTGCTAAACCTAAGCCAACCTCGGGGGCCACGAGCTTCTTCTATAGCGGTGACGTAATTGACATTGGCTAACGGCAGCTGGGCCTCGTTTCTTTTAATTAAGAGATCTGCCAGGCAACGGGATCCGGCTTTCCTTTATGAAGATCGACAATCCTCTTCCTTCGCCCCCCATTCGAACTTTAAGGGGATGAAACGTTGGTAGCGGTTCGACACCAGACACAGGTGGCGAACTCACAGTCGATACTGCGCTCTTTCCAAGGAGACTCGAGATTTATACTTTAGAGTCAAGCCAAGAGCTATAAAACTTCCGTGGGTTAGGCGAAAATCTCCTTTGAAAGTCCCTCCAGCTTAGAGGACGAAGAGGTTTCGAGAACTATACGTCGTAGGATAACGTGGACTAAAATCATTTCTGTCCTTTGGGAGTGAGTGAAGTATTGCCTGAGCCAACCAGGCCCAAAGCTAGGCCCCAAAGTTAGGCCAGTGTTTAGACAAACTTATGTCCAGGACCTAACTTTGTACCAACATGAATCTAGGTCCTAACTTTGTACCAACTTGGGTCCAAACGCTAGGTCAGGATCTGAACCAAAATGCGTCTCAGCGTGAGCAATGGACCTGGAAAAGGAATAAGAAAGTAACTAATTCCTACTAACAATCTGAATATCACAATCGGTAAGGACGAAGTAGAACGGTTCTGGTACTTCTCAGAAGGCATGCATTATCCGAGCGTTTGCAGACTGTTTCGTCGATTTAACAGGGGGGTAGGGGGAGTGTTAAAGGGGGAGGAATCCGCGAGAGGCGCGGAGATTAACAGCCCGGAGCGGAAAACGAGTACGCGAATCGTGACGGAAGAAGGAAGGCCCGAAGACACGGTGCTCCAGAGGGGAGTGGGGGATGGTTGAGTCGAGCGTTAAGGGGGTTGCTTTAACTGGCGAGAGAAACCGTTATTAAGATTACGGACGGCGCGCATGAGTAATGACATCCTCCTTTGCTTCCACCACCGCGCTCTGATAAATTATCGAATTGTACCACAAAAGTGAAACACATGGAGAATCCCGGGGACTGTCGATCGCGTGAAACTCTGACCGACTTGATTTTTGGTGGCCAGGAATCGGGATCCGTTCGCTTCCAAATGATATAGTCTGTGTTAGGTTCTATGTTAGGTCTGGATTAGGGTCTGGTGCTAGTTCTACGTTAGGTATTGTGCTAGGTATGGGTTGGTTAGTCATGAATGATTAGGTTATTATGGGATCTGGCTTCTTTAAGTTAAGAGATTCTCTTTCGCACTGAAGATTCTCAATAGTTCCACAGCTGATTTGACACATATATTAAAAGTATACTCTATGGGTAGAAAGACATCTATGATTCTAATGAATGGAATATAATAAAAAGGGCAAAAGATATCGTTTAAAATATATGTCCGAATAATTAACTGTATCATACCAGGTCTTCCAGAACAGGATATCCAGACGAGACAATCATCCCGAGAGCAAAGGCTAACTATGGTGGTTATCGAAAGTGTTTCTGGAAGGAATTCGTGCGTATTTCGGAAATTTTCAGCGATGTCGGTCGTTCCTACTTCACGTTCAATCCTCGTCTCGCGTAGGGTCTGATATTTCCCCGGCGGTCGTCCCTCGTAACGCTCCACTCGTGCGTTACATAAATTGTGGAACTCTAATGTCCTCTCGAGCTAAAGAGGCGATGAAAGTTCAAGAGCCCTCGTGAGCGGAGGCCGCATATACATGTATATATACTCGCTTTTATAACTTCACCGCGGGAATATATATCGAGAAATTTCGTGATAAACTCGAGAGGGATGGTTCGAGATCTGAGAGAGGGCGACGCGAAAGAAAAATGCTTAACCGTGGTGAACAAGAAAATTACGGCGTTGCCTCTCTACGCTTCGAGGACGAATGACAACGAAACACGAACAAGGAAAACTACTCCGACTTCTCAATAACGTTCCCATGTCGTACTTTATCGGCAGAAAATAGACAGAGTATCGTATTCCGTGAAAAATTAAAATTCTACCATCGGCTGACTTATGACCGACCTGTACTACTGTCGCCGCAGCCACGTCCGAGGAATTATTGACTTACTCTACTCGCGAATGCAGTTCTCCAGCGGAAAAAAGATCTTCTCGTCTCTTTCCCCGACAGGCAAGATAGATCGCGAGTGATGAAAATAGGAAAAAAGTCGACCGACAGGGGAAATCTCCGTCATAGCCGGACCCGATCTTTATTCGACTACAAATGGAGCTCTTAAAAGCTCGTATTCGATGCTACCGATTGCTCGCTGGACGGCCGTTTTTCGAGTCCGCCATTAACGGAGCACGGATATTCCAGCCGGGCAAGAAATAAATGACAAAGCTGACAATCGACTGACAGAGACAAAGGGAACGAAGTAATTTTATTCCTCGATCGATTGCCGCCAGGGGAGAAAAGAAACGAAAAGCTTGATGAGGTCATTTATGCCTTCTAATTGTTCATTCACTGAAAATCATTTTGATACGGTCATAGGTTTCGTTAGGTCTCGAGTACGTCTTAATTAGGTCTTGACTATGTCTTCATTTGGTCTTGGTTAGGTATTGGTGGTCTTTGTTAGGTCTGGGTCACGTCTGTGGGGGGCGTATCCCCTCGGGAGTCGAAATCACCGCGGGGCAGGCTTCGTTTAAATAAATCTCCGGGCGAAATCACGCGACCCATTGAACCGTGAGCCGTTCGTGTTTGCCTTTCCAAGGGAAATCGATGATCTTCCTCCACGGTTGAATAATAGATTCGTCTGGAAGTCGATTCCCGGTGGCGGGCGATAAGCAGAGGGTTGGGAAGGGGTGCTTAAATCGAGCGAAAAGAATCACGAGCCGCGTTATCATTCTCGTTTCGCCACGTGACCGTCGTTGTACCCCCGGAAATGTCATGCCGGCTATAACAATAATGGCCGTTTATCGATCGGATGTGTTTCACGTGATTACGAGCCGCCAGTATCCGCGATTCGTGCACGTGACGACGAAACTGAGACAGAAAGAAAGGGGTCTCACCTGGGTGAAGAAATAGTAGTAGACCTTCATCCCCCTGTCCGCGAACAGTTGAGCGAAATGTATCGACGGGCAAATGAAAAAGTAGTCGCCAACCACGTCAGCGATCATCTTCTGGTATACGAAACCGTTGTCCACCTGCTCCCAGTCGGTGTACTGTGAGAAATAGAAACAATGAATATCATTAGTGAAACATAGGGATGAACAAATCGTCTGAGATGTAGAGGGTGGTCATGAAATAGATGGCCACACTTTAGGTGTATGTGTGATGTGAAATATATGATCGATGTTGTTATTAAAATAAAAAGGTACCGTCTCGAATCACGGCATTATAGAATGCTACGGCAAAATGGCCGATACGTTCTACGAGGGAAATCAGATTTCACGGGGGAACGGCTCGAAGGAATTTTTAATAAAAGTAGAATGACGGTTTTTCATCGGTACCGGCTAGGCTTTCCATATTTCACCGGCGCTTAAACAACAAACTACGCTCGGAGTTTAGGGGCCAGTAAAATTCGTGGCGCTGGCTATCAGGCTCCATTTATCACGGCAGCCGTTGCGTTACGCTCGCGAGCCCCACCGGCTCAATACGCGCCGATTATTGCTCGCGTTCCCACGCGAATGCAGCTCCCTCGTCTACTACTTCCGCGTGGCTTAATGGTGCCCGAGAATTTCTGACAAATACCTAGAACCTTCCGAACCTCTAAGAACACTCGCCTAACCAAGATATCGTTGGGACCGAACACGACTTAAAACATTGACCTCTTTTTACGTGGGCGAACACCAAGCATAGAGATTCAACCTAGACCTAACAGTTACAGAAACAACATATATCTAGCACGTATCCAGATGGGACCTAACATGGATCCAGTTAGGGCGTAGGATGGACTCAGTTGGGGACTAAGATGGATTCAATTGGGGGCCTAACATAGGTTTAGTTTAAGATTTAACATAAAACATGCTACTAACCAATAGTATACCCCTAACTTATTTCCATCTAATCCAATTGAGTTCAGCGTACCGTAAATTACAAGCTGACATTATCCCACGACCGAAAATATTCGTTCGAAGTTAGTCAATTCAATAACACGCCATATTATTGCATGGATAAAACGCAGAACACCCGGTATAAGCAGACGCCCCGGAGCAAGTCATAACAAATTTATATCGTCACGGTGTTAGCTTGTTCCCGTGCGTTGAAATTTCTTCGGCAAACAAATTTTCCAGCGTGACGGAGAGGAAGAGACCCTGGCGGTGGTAGGTGGATGGAGGGTTGTCAGAAGCTCCCGTTTCCCCGTGGAAAACCAAGGCCTACGGGATTTCTCTCCCTCCCCCGCGAACCTGTTGCCGAGAGTGCGTTTCAAGCGGCGCAAGATGGGAGGGAAAAAGCGGTCGCGGTACCGCGCGACAAGTTTAAAGGGGCAGCATTACTCAGGGCTCGTCGAGGAACGGGGAAACTTGGTCTTCCCTAGGAAATCGTCGACATCGATTTCCCTCCCTGTCCTCCGTTACCTTTCGATTAATTAGTCCCCGGGGTGGTGCTAATTAATCAACTTTCTTCGTGGCTACTTTTCTCCTATTGCCGATTCGAGGCTGATGAAGCCTGAGATCTGTACTCGACGCGTTACCGTTCACTTGAAACACTGTTATTCAATCTGGAATATTCGCGTGATAGTCTCAGTCGAGGTAAGCTTGGATTGGTTGGTGGTGCCCGGAAAGGGGCGGCCCTGAAGCTCGAACGATGAATCGTCGCGTGGAGCAACTTTGATTGCTCAAAGATTACTTCGCGGCCCGCTCTCGGTCCTCCGCCGCATGGAAGTTTAATGAAATGAAACTGGGCGAGCTATAGGCTGACTTCCCGTCGAGGGTCAGCAACATGAACGATTGACGGTGTGTAGATACTGGATCTCGATGTACTTTAATAATATTCTTTCCTCCGACTTTCGGAATAGCCTGTGTCGTTGGACTGATGGTTTCCATTGCAACGATTTGATTCCAATATCGGGAAAGCGGGCCAAACCCAGAACTAACGTCTTGCTTGGCCGTGAACTTACATTGCCCGACTGGAACCTAACACCTTGCTCGACCCCAGGCGTAACACTTTGCCCGACCCCAGACTTAACACTTTATATGACCTCAGACTTAACACTTTATATGGCCTCAGACATAACACATTGCCCGACCTCAGACTTAACACATAGCCTAACCCCAGACTTAACACTTTATATGACCTCAGACTTAACACTTTATATGGCCTCAGACATAACACATTGCCTGACCTCGGACTTAACGCATTGCCTGACCTCAGACTTAACACTTTGCCTGACCTCAGACTTAACACCTTGCCTGACCCAGATCGAGCCCTAGACCTAAGGGTAATGTCTACTATCTGAAGTCCTCTAAGCTTCGAAATTTCCCGATTTTTCTGGTCGATCAAGCATCATTGTGCTCGACTCGGGTCACCGCGCGATTAACGCGATGCGAGTGGACAGGTTCGATTAAAGCGGATGCAAATGAACCGCGGCTGCACTATCATTTTCGCGAACGAACGGAATCCCGCTCCGATTAATGAAACCCGCGATGAAACCAAAACCAGTCGACGTACTCCGATTTCCGTTTCGCGAAGCCCACGAGCGTGTACGTGTATGTGGCGGTCAGGCGCTCCGGGAGGACAGGCTCAGATTAACGGTTTCGCTGGCTGGCGCAATACGACACCCGTTTCCCGACGGTGAGGTCTGGTTCAAGGCTTTAATCAAACTTTCCACGGAGTGTCTTCGCGGGCAGGTGGTCGGACCACGTAATCCGGCGCGTGTAACGCGCTTCTTGTCGCGGGAAACTGGCGGACAGGTCGCTGGAGTAGGGGTTCTCGTTTCGTGAATTAAACTCGGCGGTGGAGCTTCTCAACCGAGACTGTTATTTCCGCAGGATTTCTCGTCTCGTCGTGACGTGTGAACGGGAAATAGTCATGTGACTTCGGAGATTCCAAGATGTCAGGAGAGTTGAAAGCATTGTCGTGGATGGAAAAGCGTTGACAATCTTGACATAGTCATCTCTGGGATTTGAGTCAGTTAATAAAAAGCTTGTCGCGTTGTATTTTCAATGGTCCCACGCTTGTGATTATAAGGATGGCTGTGCATGGGCCATCAAGTACGAGATGGTAGATTAACAAAATAATACGAAATTAATAATTGGAGAGGGTGGAGGTTGCTCACGGTTGATTTTCCACGAGATTGCAGGCGGGGACACGATTCAGTCGTTTTCTAGCTGCGACTCTACCCGCTCGTTAGCTCACTTTTTTCGAAATACCGCGCCGCGTGCAACCAATGACGAGAGTCATCGTGGGGCACATAATTGCCGCGCGGCCTTGTTAAAACGTACGCTCGCGTGCCGCTTCGAGTGAGTTTCGTTCGATTAATTAAACGGAGAAAATTCTTCGAGCACCGTTCAAGAAGATGATTTTTCGAACGGGAATGCATTAAACTTCTCTCCATGGATGAAACTGTGAATGTCGACTGATAGGCGGACAGAAGTTACTATTAATTGTTAACTTCTATTAATCAGTAATTAAGCGTAAAATACAAAAAACTGAGGAAGTAACAACCCATAGAATAGTTTCCGTATATTAGATCAGTGAAACAGGTTCCATATATGGTCAGACAAGTGAAACAGGTTCCATATATGGCCAGACAAGTGATCTATGTTTCCGATATGCTCAGAAGTGTAGAATGGGGTTCGTATATGATCAGACAAGTACACAAGAATTAGTACATGGTCTAACAAGATGGTATTTATATGGTTCTGTAAGTGAAACAGTGATCGTTTAGGGCCAAACAAGGGAAATAGGATTCGTATATGACCGAACAAATGATACACGGTTCTGCAAGTAGCATAGGGTCTGTATGTGGTCAGACAAGTAGGAAAAGAATGTTATATGGCTTCTTAAACGTGGGCAATTAGTTTCAACGTGTTTGGTTAATGACGCCCAGCAGTCCACATCGACTGTGACATTAAAAAGACGTCAATCTTCCAGCTCCGGTCACGAGTTAAGATGTCGGAATGGCGATGATTGCGGTCAAGATGGCGGATATCAGTTCCGAGCAGTGCCGTGAACGGGAATAATGAGTGGTACGCGTGATACGGCTTGGCTGAAAATCTCATCAAAGCGAAACGACCGAGCAGAAGTGGTCATACATAGTAGGTTAGGTCCGAGGGATTAGGTTGGCCGACTGCGGCGTTCGCCGAAAGGTTGTCCGCTCGTGACAAATCGAAACGACTGGACGAACCTGGGGCTAGCTGGTTGAATTAATGGAGAGCCCGACGGTGCTCCCCCTTGAGATTGCAAGAACAATAAGACCGGGCAATAAATTCGTAACGAGAGTAATATTAATGAATCGTAATAATCAAACCGGACTCCCCTATGTCACCCCCCCACTTTGGACTGGCTACCACGTCCACCACTTGAATTTATCGTTCTGATAAAAGACAATATCGAAATGTTTCGAAAATTATTATTTAAAAAATGTTACTGTCAGCATAATTGTTAGTCGAGGAATCAGCAAGTACGTTAATGAAGTCTGAAGGTTATGGAATAATAAATGGTTCGACAGAGGCAGAAGGGAAGTTTGGTGGATCGAAAAACCAGCGGAGTATATGGATATACGCGCGGGTCCATTTTCCCCGTCGTTGGCGTTAAATATAGCCGTACTTTCTTACCCGGCCTCACTTTTCCCATAAATATAATGCTTCACGCCCTTGAATTTTCCGGAACACCCTCGTAAATTTTGGTTGTTTAAGAGCGACGAGAGCTGCCTCACCCTTGAAACAACGTCAAGAGACACCGTCCGCCTACATTGTACGATGTAATGAAAATTTTCGGTGTCCCGCGTGGAAATTAGAAAAGACCAGACATCCTTCTTACATAACACTAACCTATATTTAAGTATAATTTATTTATTTTATTTTATTTTATATTAAGTTCTACCTTGGATTCAGTTGGAAGCAACCCAGTCACCCTAAGATCTTGCTTGAATCTTAGCTTGGATCCCACGAGATCTAACTTGGATCCTTTTTGGACCGAAGGCCTAACCTGAATCACAATCGGAACATGTCAGACCTAACTTGGATCCTTTTTGGACCGAATGCCTAACCTGAATCAC